CCGCTCCCGCCCGGCCCCGCCTCGCCGGGGCAGCGCCGGCGCCTCTGCCCGGCCCCGACACACCCGCCCCGGGCCCCGGGCCCTGCCCCGGGCAGCACAAGGGCAAGGGGGGGATTCAGGAGAACGGGGGCTGGGCGAGATTCGCTGGCAGCTGCGTGGCCAGAGGAGCAGCAGCGCTCCGAGAGATGATGGCTGCTGTCCCAAGGCTACCAGCGCGCCTCCATCTCTGTCCCGGTTTCTTGCTCTGTGAGCCATTTCAAAGATATTATCGCCTCAGTACTTCTAAAAAAACCCAGCAAAATTCTAAATACTGAAACAGTATAGAACATCATCTGGGTGGGGATCTGTGCAGTCTTGTGTGTCCTGAGTAAAGTCTCACCTGAGGCTTTGACATTGTGGGGTTTCCAGCATCACCCCAATGTAAGATTTCCTATCTTTCTATCACCTTTTCCGGGATGTTAATGAAACAGTTCTCTATTCTGAGAGATTCATGCAATACCTTCTAGCTTTAGAAAGATCCAGCACCTCCTGGGGCAAAAAGTCATGCATCAGGGAGGGTCTTCAGGAATTAAAATAAGGGGAATAGTCTGGAGAATGGAGGCTCTCAATAAGCTCTGAATGATCATGGTGTTTTGGAGAGGTTCCTGAGGACTGCTGGAGGAAAGTAAATGTTACTGCTATCTTCAAGAAGAGCAAAAAAGAGGACCCAGGGAGCTTCCCTCAATCCCTGAAATGCTGACTGAGCACCTAATGCTGGAAATTATTTCCAGGCACATCAAGGACAAGAATGTTTGTAGGATTCACCAAGGGGAACTCACACTTGACAGACTTGATAATGAAATTTTACGCTGAAATGACTGGCTTTGTTTACCTTGACTTCGGGAAGGCTTTCAACACTGTCCTTCAAAACAAGGTCCTCCTAAGAGAAGCTGATGAAGACTCAACTGAATGAGTAGATGGTGATCTGGACAGAACAGTGGACAGACAGAGGATCCCTAAGAGTTGTCATTAGTGGCATGAGGTCTAGTTGGAAGTCAGTTCCTAGCAACCCCAGGGGTCAGTGTTGGGTCTAGCCCTCTTTAGCATCTTTTAGCCATGATCTGGAAGAAGAAAATAAAGATGAACCCCAGCAAATTCTTTAATGAAACATGAGTAGTAGGAGGGGCTGCTACACAACGGGATTGTGCTGCCACCCAGAGGGATCTCGGCAGACTGGAGAAATGGAACCTGAGACAGTTCACAAAACTGTACTAATTTTCAGTGGGATAAAGTATTTTTTTTTCACAGTAGTTCTGATGACAAAGACAGGAGAATGTTTTAGCTGTTGCTCAATAGTGCTCACAGAACATCAAGGCCTTCTCTGATTTGCATACTGCCCCAACAGTGAGGCTTGGGATGGACAGCCAGGACAGGTGATGCGAAATTAGCAAAGGATTATTCCACACAGTAATATATCAGTTTCAGAGATAAGACTCAGAGAAAAAAGGAGGAAAGGGGCTTTTAGGAGTTTTGCATTATGGCACCCACAGTGCAGCCTCACAGTGTGAGGGTAACCAAGCACCAGTGCAGGTTGTCCAGGCGTCTTGTGGAGTCTCCATGCTTGGAGATACTCACAAACTGTTTAGCTGTGGCCTGAGAGAAGTGGAGCCTGTGGAGAAGCCAGGCTAGAGCAGGTTGTTTCTGAGAGAAGTGTCGGCATTGACCCTACACCACTTTCCCATGGGCCCTGTGCCTTTTGGACAGAAGAGGTAGAGAAACCAGGAATGAAGGATTGAAGGCAAACCTGCCTGCAAGGCTTCAGCAGCGCCAAGGTGTTTTAATGTTTAATGTTTTGATGTTGTACTCGCTCACAATTCTACTCTGTTTTAAATTGGCAATAAACTAGAATCCTGGCAGTATGCAGTTAAAGCCAGGAACACCTGCCTTTGATCTGACTCCTTGGGAACAGACCTGAGACTCATTAACTCCCGGTGATTCTAACCTTCCTTACACCTAACACACCCCGTTCCAGGCCCCAGCAGGTTGTTGTTAAAGCTCAGCTGGGTTTCTTGTCCCTGTGTGAACAGTACAGAAGAAGCACACAGAGTCCCTGGCGTGCCCACAAAACCAGAGATGACTGAGACTGGTAACTGTCCTATGAGGCTGTGGCTCACCCTCCACTGCTGCTCCGTACTTCTTTACATTGCTCGAGAAGCTGATGAGAGACACTCAGCCAAATCTTTCTCCGGGTGCCTCACGGTACCACCGAATTGTGTACCTCCCCGAAGGCGCTGCTGGACAAGTGGCAGGAAAGGCTCACGGAGTCCCCGGGGACTCGCAGCCCTCCTGCAGCCTCAGCTGTGCCCAGAGCCCTGCGGAGGGAGAGCGCAGGAATCGGGCAGGGCGCGACCACGGACCGAGGGCGCTGTCCCGGGCT